AATAAAAATGCAAAAAATAAAATAAAAAAATTTTTTTCGTACGCAACAAACAAACAAACAAACGAACAAACAAGGAAATAAACACGTGGTCATTCGTATATGCGAAAAATCTCGACGCAAAAGAAAAGAGAGAAAGTGAAGAGAAAAAATTACGTGTGTGTGCACGTGCGTGTGAACGTCACTTGACCTTGAAATTCAACAAAATGAAAACATTATTTTTTTTTTTTTTTATCAGTGAAAACATTCGTTCCTTGTTTTCTTATCAATCGATTCATTCAATCTCTCGTGCAATCGTTCCATGCGTTTGTTCGTTTGTTTGTTTGTTTGTTGTTATTTATTACTTAAAGTTACGAAAATAACGATACGGATTTCCTCAATGAAATAACAAAATAAATTATTTATTTATCGATACCAAATAAATTTCGCGCGTTGGAAAACTAATACGGGGGGGGGGGGCGGGCGAGAAGGGGGAGACGAGGGGGAGGTGGCGAGTGGGGGTGCGTGCGCGTGTGAAAAACGACATCGTCGTAAAAAAAAATTAATCCATTTCGAAACGGAACATTGAAATCAAAATCAAAAAAAAAAGAAAAAAAAATTTACGTATTTATTAATTAATAGATAAATAATGTACATAAATATCTTATATTATTATTATTATTATTATTATTATTATTACTTCTTTGCTTACTATTTTAATCGAGGATAATCCATTTGAAAACAACAATAATAATATTATTATTATTATTATCCATTCAACTTCAACAAAAAAAAAAAATAATAATAATGATAAATTTTTTATTTTTTTATTTTTTTACTAATCGGAGGCTGATCAATAATAATAATAATAATAATAATAATAAATCAATCGTTTTTTTTTTTTTTTTTAAATTATTTACATTTACAAATTACCATTTTTAAATATATATGTATTTATTTATTTATAATTTTTTTATATTTATAAAAAAAAATAACGACAGATTATTTTCAAAAAATGGCACCACGGCGATACACAAACTTTTTTTTTAATTTTTAATTTTTTTTTTTTTTTTGGGGGGGGGGGGGGGGGGTAAAAATTTCTCTTTTTCTATCAAAAAAAAATGGAAAATTCGGAGAAAAAAAAATTAATTTTTTTTATCAATTTTTATTTTATTTTAATTTTTTTATTTATTTTTCAATATTATTATTATTATTATTATTATTAATAATTTTTTTACGATGATGATGATGATGATCATTATTTATTTATACATGCAACATTAAACGGATGAATAAAAAGTATAATTTTTTTAATAATATACTTATAAATTCATTCATTATCGATAATAATAATAATAATAATAATAATAATTTTTTTTTCCCTCTCTCTCTCTCACTCACTCCCACTCTCTCTCTCTCTTTTACTTCTTATTTTTTTATTTTATTTCTTTTTTTAATAAAACACACATATATTTTTATTTACATAAAACAATTTCTCTCTCTCTCTCTCTCTGTCTCTCTTTCTCTTTCTTTTCTTTCCCAATATTTTTTCTTTTCTTTTCTCTTTCCTTTTTAATCAAACGCGAGACAACAAATACATTTTAATTATTATTATTATTATTATCATCATCAATTACCACCGCGCGTAAATAACAAATAAAATTTTTAATTTAATTTTTCGTTTTCCTTTTTTTCCTTTTTTTTTTTTTTTTACCGCGCGTGCGCTATAACAATTAATTAAATAACGACATTGTTCGTTGTACATTACAAAAAAAATGTATAAGAAAAAATAATAATAATAATAATAATAATAATAAAAAATACCATGCGAGAATTTAAATTAAAAATCATTCATTCATCATTCATTCATTCATTTGTGTTCGAGTGATATTTTTTTTTTTTTATTTATATAAAGAAAATTTTTCCTCATTTTATTCACTACAATAATAATAATAATAATAATAATAATAATAATAATAATAATAATAATAATAATAATACTAAAAAAAAAAAAAAAATTTGTAATGAACGTAAATAAAAAAAAAAAAAAAAATAGTATTGACGACAGAGAAAACAAAGTGGAGCAAGCAAATACATAATGAATACAGAAAATATTACAATTTTTTTTTCTTTTTGTTTTGTTTTTTGTTTTTCCGCTTTTCCGTTTTTCTTTTTGACGGAAATTATATATATATATATATATATATAAACCGTTTTTTTTCTTTCAACAACAACTTTTTCCTTTTTTTTTTTTTTTTGTCTATACATGTAAAAAAAAAAAAAAAAACCTCCGATGATTTATTTCATTTAATTTTTCTTGTTCTTTGAATTATTATTTGCATTTTGTTTGTTTTTAACATTTTGTTTCTTGTCCGTTTGCGACGACGTTGTTGTCGATTCTCCTTTTCCCGACGCATCTTTCGCGTTTGCCTTTTTCAACGTCGGTTTCCCCGTTTTTTTTTTCGCAACGACTTTGTTTACTTTCTGCGGTTTCTTTCCCTGTTCGAAAAGAAAAAAGAAAAATAAAATCATTCTGTCTTTTTTTTTTTTTACTTCCTGTGTGTCACATACATATAAACACGACAATAATTTTAATTCGAACCTTTGTTTTCCCCTGTTTTTTCGTCGATAATGCGTCCTTTGACGAAACAATGTCGACCTTTCGTAGTACTTTTGCCACGACTCGAGCCTTTTCGTTTGGCGGTGAAATTTTTAACTGGTCCACAACTTTAGAAGACTTTGATTCTGTTTTTCCACCACTTTTCTGCGTGTGAAAAATTTCCAAAAAAAAAAAAAAAAAAAAAAAAATGTTATACATCATGCGACTGACTCCCCCCCCCCAAAAAAAAAAAAAATTAAAAAATTAAAAATTCAAATCAAACCTTTTTGCTTTTGTTTTTATCCGTTGCGGATTTTGTAACCTTTTTCCCAATCGCTTTACTTTTACTCTTTCCTTTTCCCTTTTTCTGTGATTTTTCACTTTCTCCGGATTCATCCTTTTTAGCTTGTTTAGGACTCCTCCTGGACGGTGAACTAGAGGTTCTTTTCGTTCCTCTTTTAGGCTTTTGTAATTGTTTTTCATCTTTGTAGAGAGACAAATCGACTACAGAACGAAAGCAAAATAACTTGTTAAATTACAGGAAAAAAAAAAAACCATTTCATTCAATTTCTATTCGATTTAACAGAAAAAAAAGGAATTCTCACTTCCATCCGGATGTTCTTCCGTTATTGAAGGCTTTTCTGTCACTCCCTTTTCTACATCTAATGCTCTTTTTAATATATTTTCAATGCGCTCTAATTCTACCTTACGTAATTTGTACATGTTTTTATCTTGTTTATTAAGAGCAACCGTTGTTAGAATACATTCGAAATCTGGAAAACGATAAATAAATAAAAAAAACCGTCGAATAAAAACCAAAACGTTATGAAATAACATAATAAAATACAAGAAAAAAAAAAAAGAGAAAAAGAAAAAGAAAAATTCAGGTACATTCATGGTCAAACAAATGGAATGGCCAGAAAGGTTTCAAAATGAAATCAGATAACTTTTCTCTCACAGGAATATTAAATGTGATTTGATAATCTTCTTATCATGAACTAGGATCTCAAGGTAAGGATCTTTTTTTTTTTTTTTTTTTTTCTTTCTTTTTCTGAAAACAAAACGCTTAATGTAACATAAATAGTATTTAATAAATGAAAGTATAAATAAAAAGTATGCTTCAATCGTAGAGCGCGAAAAAAAAATAAAATAAAAAGTACCTGTGAGGTCATAAAAATCAGGAGTGTATATATCTCCATCTTCGTTACTCTTTTCTTTCTCCTGTGACAACCACCTTATTCGAATCCGATGAGAAGAACGGTAGACATTTTGCAGTGTTTGGCACAAGTAAAATCCACCCTCGGCATTTCTTACAGCCAAAAACTCATTTCTGAAATTAAAGAAGAAAATCGATACAGACTGATTGTTATAATAAAACTATGAAAAATAAGGTATAAAATTCATACCTGTAAAAAACTATGAGCTTTTCTTCACTGCTTTTTGGCGCAGAATCTTTTTCTTTTAATGATTTATTTATAAATGTAGCAAGCTCTGGCAATGGACTCTGATAGGGCAAAACTTGTGACCTGATCCTTCTCGTTTTCTTTTCTGGTTCCGGTTCAGGCTCGTTGGATTTTTTCTCAGGCGTCGTTTGTTCTCTTTTTCTCTTTGTCGCCGACGATACATCCGATACGGTTTCAGCGTTCTCGGATGTGACGTCATTCACCGATTCTTCCGTCGAACGCTGCGTTTCCAAATTTGAATTTGACTCCGAATAATCATCATCCTTTGAAAAAATTTGACTTAAGCTTTGTTCAACCTTTTCCGCCGTCAAAGTTTCTAACTGAGAAAATGACGTTTGTGAAAGTTCATCATTATCAACGGAAAGTTCACACGACGTGAGAGAAATTCTATCATCCACGTGATTTAAAACATTTTGAGGATTTGAATCTTCCTCCGTTTTACTACTAGGAACACTCGAAGATTGAGTTTCTTCATTCAGAGTAAGTAGTTTCAAGTCGTCGACGCCATTCGATGTGGGCTTTACAACAGGTGATTCGTTTGTTTTTTCTGTCGGAGATTTGGTTATTGATGATTGTCCTTGTGTACCGACAACTTTATTTTCATAAATTAAACTCAATGCCACTGATGAATGATTCACATTTATTGGAGATTTGTTTGGAGATGTGTGTATTGGTGTTGGTGGAATGACAGCTATTTTCGGATTGACAGAAACTCCTATCGATGGAACTGGTGTGCTACCACTTGTCGAATTTGTATTTAATTTCGAGGACTGATTTCCTGAAGAGGGCAGTGTGTTTATGGCAGGAACACTCATCATACTATTTCTAAAATAATAAAAAGTTTTCGATAATTGAATAAATAAACACAACTAATAATATTATTATCAACTTAAACTAAGAAAAAAACTACAATTACAATCGTAATGAAACAAAAAAAAAAAAAACTCAAAATCTTAATTAATGCACATGGAAGTATTAAATTCTTAATTCACTATCAAACAAAATTATTATATACTGATATTTAAAAAAAAAAAAATTATAATAATTATTATTATTATTATATTACACTAATTAAAAAGTGCAAATTTTCTACGTAAAAAGGGGGATAATAATGCTTTTCTTTTAATGACTGGCATTATCATTCCTCAGGCTATAAAAATAAATAAAAGCAATTTAAAAACGGAATTAAAAGAAAAAAAAAAAAAAAAAAAATCAATTAAATTTAAATTATATAACAAGAAAAGATATACACGGGTTGGATCCTCCGTTTTAGTTATAATAATAATGATAATAATAAAAAAAAAGTGATAATAATACAAATTTTTATTAGTGTTTTTTTCGGATCGTTTTTTCTTAATAGATCACTAAACAAATAAATGTGGATTACCTAAAAACAATTATGTGCGCGTGCAGCTGCAGTCGGAAATATTTTTTTTAACCAAATGTTAATTCATTTAATATACGTAAAAAAAAAAAAAAAGAATAAAAATAAAAAAAAAAGAAAAAGAAAAAAAGAAAAAAAAATTTATATCAATACATCAATGAGATGTCAAAAAAAAAAAAATCATATTCAGAAATAATCAATTACTTCTTATGCTCAGAAGCCTCATTCAGATTTAATAAAATTCCGACGCAGACCCACAGACGCAACCGCAATTTTCATATCACCGTAAACATTTTTTTTTAATTCAACACAATAAAACAACACCTTAATTTTAATTTAAAATAGATAATTTAATTAAAAACTTAATCAAAACAAAATTATTATTTAAAAAGTGTTTGGATGCCAACTTAAAGTGACACATACGTTAGCTGGACAAATCCGCTAAGTTGATCGTCCGAGGAGCAGCGTCCGAAAAATCTCTTTTACTGCGATTTTATGATTTTATTTATTTCACCACCTTTTTTATTAATAAAAAAAAGTCTTTTTTATCAACAAAACTATTCTCGACTGACCGACTAAATCATCAAATCTTATTATCATTTATGCCATACTTCAACTCAAACAAAAAATTTCATGGCGTCTTTAACATTCCCACAATTCTGTGGGTGAATGACAACAAATGGCGACTGGCATGCGCAAGAGTCGCCATATTGTATGTTGTTCAGACAGTAAAAATTTTTTAAATTTCATTCCAGTTTTTAATATTTCTATTTAATCAAAAAGTTTTTTTTCCCCCCCTTATTTATTAATATTAATTTTTTGTTGATTTATTTACGCGAAAAAAAATTTTATTAAACAGTTTTTTTTTCTAAAAATAATTGTTAGTTGTTTGCAATTGAAGTCACAAGATTCTTGTCAATTTTAATTTGATTATCAGTGTGATAATAAGTTGTTTTTTTTAAAATTTATAATGATATTATAAAATGTCCAAATTACTGTGCAAAAGGTTTTCTGTGTCATTCCAATCACTTGTTTCCGTTTCGAAAAAATTTAAGGTATGATTTAAATGAAAATAAATTTATTGTAATTAAATATTTATTAATTTTTTTTTTTTTTTTCTAATTCGTAAATTTAAAAATTTTTTCAAAAAACAAACGTCTTAGCTTGCACATGATTTATTACATAAGTCTTTCGTAACAATTATTTACCGGTATTTTATAGTTTAAACTATTTTGATATTTTTAGAAAATTCATGTAAATGGACCAAAATATTCAACAGCTGTTCCTGAGGCAGCAGGTAGTACGTCGTACCTTACTGCTAATAGGCCAACAACCGAAAAATTACTATTTAGTACTCAATATGAATCTCCAATGCCAACATACAGAGTACTAAGCGATTGTGGAACAGAAATTCTGAACCCTGAAGTTAATTATTTGGTTATTATCACTGAAATAAACATTTTGAAAAAAGAAATAAATAAATAAAAATAAATTTTTTAAATGTTGTCTGTTACCTTTTAGGTCAACAAAGAACATTTGGAAAAAATGTATAAAGATATGCTGACACTTAATGTCATGGATCAAATTTTATACGAGAGTCAAAGGCAAGGAAGAATTTCATTTTATATGACAAATTTTGGAGAAGAAGCTTGCCAAATAGGGAGTGCTGGTGCTTTAGAACCTGAAGATTTAATATTTGCTCAATATAGGGAAGCAGGGGTCTTGTTGTACAGGGGATATGACCTGGATATGTTTATGAATCAATGTTATGGTAATGAATTAGATGAGGGCAAAGGAAGGCAAATGCCTGTTCATTATGGCTCGAAAAAGCTAAATTTTGTGACAATATCATCTCCTTTGGGAACTCAATTACCACAAGCCGTAGGAGCTGCTTACCAATTTAAAATATCTAAACAGAATCGCTGTGTTATAACTTATTTTGGGGAGGGTGCTGCCAGTGAGGGGGATGCTCATGCTGCATTTAATTTTGCAGCCACTTTAGACTGTCCTGTTATATTTTTTTGGTATGTTTAATCTTTTAATATTTAAAGGTGTATTTTTGGAGAATTGATTTTAATATTTTTATTTTTAGTCGAAATAATTGTTATGCCATTTCAACTCCTTGTTATGAACAATACAGGGGTGATGGTATTGCTGGTAGAGGTCTTGGATATGGAATACCATCAATAAGAGTTGATGGAAATGATCTTTTGGCTGTGTTACATTCCACCAGGAAAGCTCGAGATCTTGCCATCTCGGAAAATAAGCCAGTATTAATTGAAGCTATGACATACAGGTATGTTGAAAAAATTTCACAATTTAATTTTTAAAAAAAACAAATTTTTTACATTTTATCTTTCTTATGGTAGAATTGGTCACCATTCTACATCAGATGACAGCAGTACATATCGATCTATGGATGAAGTTAAAGAATGGAATTCTCATAATCATCCAATTAACAGATTTAGAAACTTTTTGGAATTCAGAGGCTGGTGGAATGAAGACATGGAAAAAGAATGGAGAAGCGATGCAAGAAAAAAAGTAAGTTTTTTTTTTTTTTCAAGTTTTTAAACTGACCACCAATCAAAAAACTTTTCATTAACTATTTAAAAAAAAAATTTCAGATCCTAAAATCATTTAATGCAGCAGAAAAGAAAAAAAAACCAGCATGGAAAGAATTATTCTATGATGTATACCACGATATGCCAAAACACATACAGTAAGACTATTTACGATTACAATTTTTTTACTTTCAAACTCTTTTTTAATTTTATTATTTACTCAAAAGATTACAATTTAAATTGTTTTTATATTTTAGAAAACAAATGCATGAAATGGAGGAACATTTGAAAAATTATGGAGAACACTATCCGATGAAAGATTATAGAAATCAAAGTTAATACATTTGATTTTGTAGTAAAATTATTTTGTACATTATTTTAATTAGATAAAAAAAAAAAAAAAACAAATAATCATGTAATAATATTAATTATCACAAAGTTAACCTCCAAAATTAAATACTTTGGAGGAGTGCTGCCTTGACATTCCTAATGCAACAAGGTCTTCCAGTAAGTGCTCATTAAATAGAAAAGAATGAATGTTATGTAAAAAAAAAATATTTATAAAAAATATTAAATTTTATTTTTTTAATGGTGACAGTGTATAAATGGCTGATTATAAATATATATATTATATATTTTTAATATAAATTTGTCTTATTATTATGCAAATTAGTCATCATTTATTTTCACATCAAAATATCTCAATTTTTTCTTTTCTTTTATACTTTCTTTCTTTTGTTTTTTCTCAATGTATTTTTGAACTTTCCCCGATTTTTTCAATGTTGCATATTTATCAACTAAATCGACAATTTTTTTCTCGTATTTTGTTTTAAAATGTGGTTTTATACCACTTTCCAATGCTTTTATTTGTTCTTCTCTTTCTTTTTCTCTCCTTTCTAATTTTTTATTTAATTTTTCCTGTTCTAAATCTTGATTTTTCATTCTTTGCAATAAAAATTTTATCTTTTTAATTTCATTAGGATTTTTTTCTCTTTTCAATAATTTTTTCAGCGTTTTTTCTTCATTTTTCCTAATTGTATTTAAAAACCCGTATGCATTATCGAAATGTTTTTTACTAAAAGTACCATAAAGTGAACTAAATCTTGGGTCAATATTTTGTTTATTTAGTTTTGACCTTTGAAATTTAGGTTTTATTTTAGATGAGACTTCTCTCGGTCTATTTTTATTTTCTCTTTTAAATTTAGAACCGGGAATTTGTTTTTTACCAAAAATTGCTTCATTATAAATTTTAGAACCTAATTTATCTTTTAATTTTTGTATTTCTTCAAAAGACATACTTGATATTTTAGATTTAATTTCATTATTTTCTGTCTCATCTACATCATCTACAGCATCATTATTTATATTCTCATCTGATTCCATTGTTACCTGAAACATATTGTATTACCAAGTTAGGTTAACTATTTTCTCAGAAAAATCTTAACTACTCACTTTACACTTTTATTTTATAGACATTACAATTTGCTAATTAAGCAAAAATAACTTTTGTATTCTAATTTCTTAACATCAAAATAAATTTTTCATTTAATTTGTTGAGTATTAATTTTTTTTTTTTTTACATATAACGTTTAACGTAGTGAATTCACTTAATTGTAAAAAGAAAAAAAAACACTGTAAAACTTGTTAATGTTAAAAATACCTTAGTGTTTTATTTATATGTATATCAATTAATTTCCAGTTTTTTTTTTTTTTTTACACTAATTAATTATTTAATTTTTTACGCGAAATTCTTTTTATATTAAAAAGCGTTACTTGGAACTCGTTTCCGCTTATTTCCATGAGACTACGTAGAAAAAATGAATCATTATAATGTTTTTGAATGAAAAATAAATATAATATTAAATGAATGGTTTTTCATTAAGGTAAACATAGGTAGAATGAAAATAATAGTAGTTTAGTTTTAATGCTGCACCTTTTGTTGTCATGTCACCTAAAATTGTATTGGAATGTGTTGTAGGCATTGCCCACAACGGTTAAAATATAATTATTTTTAGTTAGTTTTACACAGTGCTTCGCTTCAATAGTTATTAGTTATAGATGAAATTTTTTAAGTTATAATTGTTTGTTAAAAAAAAAAAACAATCCGATCTTATTGTTTGATCTTAGTTATCTTAGTTATAATATGCCGTTTAAGTTACATTTGAAAAAAAGTAGACATTACAATGTTATATCTAAATCTCTCTTTGTTATTTGTGTCGAATTACTCGATGGAACAACTATTGAATGTTCCTTATCAGCTGAAAGTTTGGGATCGGAATGTATGGAATACGTTTGTCAGAGACTTGGTTTACAACAGGTACAACAATGCTATTGTTATCGCTATTTGTATCATAGCCTACTATTATTATTATTATTATTAATCTAAATTATATTTGAATGCTTAAAAAAACAAACAAAGTAGTTTTCATTGAGAGTTTTCAATAATTATTTATTTTTTTTTTAGCATGAATTTTTTGGATTGTGTTACACATCCAGACATGGAATATGTAAATGGGTAGAAATGGACAGACCGTTAAAAAGACAGCTAGATAAATATGGGCGAGATCAAAGTTTATATTTAAGAGTTATGTATTATGTTAATAATGTTTCATTGATACAAGATGAAACAACTAGATATCATTATTTTTTACAAATTAAAAAAGATGTTATCGAAGGTAGAATTCAATGTAGAGTTGAAGAAGCCGTTTTACTGGCTACATTTGCCATGCAGGGTAAATATTTAATGGGATAAATTCATTTGTGTAATTTACATTTTACCATACCTGAAATTTTATTTGTAGCTGAATTTGGGAATCACGATCATGAAAGACACACGGCAGAATATTTAAAAGATTTTGTAGTTTTTCCTCAAGTGAGTAATTATAAAAAAAAAGTTTTTTTTTTTAAAATGAAACTCTGCTGTTTTTTTTTTTTTTTTCAATTTGAATTTTCGATTTATACAGCACATAATAGAACATGCTCATCATTTGGATTTGTATGAAGCTGTAGTTCAACAACATGCTGGTTTGGCTGGTCTTCCTCAGGGAGTAGCAAAAGAACGTTACATATTAGTTGCAAAACAATTAGATGGATATGGTCAAGAAACTTTCCTTGCCAGAGATGAACAAAGAAATCCCGCATTGGTAGGAGTATCATTAAATGGTATAATTGTTGGACAGGAAAATAATACATGCACAAAATTTTATCAATGGAAAGACATATCTAACGTGATAAATCACAAAAAACAGTTTATAATTGAATGCCAATGTCCCGAAGATAATGTTCAATTTGAATTTGGTGATCCGGAACTTGCCAAATATGTTTGGAAACTTTGTGTTCTTCAGGTTTAATATTTAGTGTTAATTAAAGTGACTGACAAAATTTTCTTTATTTCATAATTTTAAACGATGGAAATATGTTTATTTCAGCACACATTTTGTATGCAAAACGACCAAAGTTCAGAGAATGCCATTAATAGGCCTGAAAGGAATCCTTTACAAACTTCAAACGATCATGTTCAGTTCAATAATCTTTTTAAACAAACAGCAGTTAGTATTAATTATTATTTTATTGATAATAATTTAATAGCAAATTAATAAAAAAATTTTTTTAGGAATCAAGACTTGTAGACAGTTTAAATGATTTAGGTAGAAATGATCACATGTTTAGAAGCAGTAGCCTGACACCGGGTGTAGGTCAAAGAGCACAGTCAACATCTTATTTAGACTTAAGTTCTCAGCCTGATGCTGACAGATTGAGATCATTATTGCCATCTTATCGTCCTGCTCCTGACTATGAAACTGCCATACAGCACAAATACATTAGGCAAGCAGCAAACATATCAAGATCGAATCCTCAAGTTGGCTTATTATACAGTAGCCAACCTGAAATACATCAGACTCACATTCACGAGGTAAAATTTAAATTTTTTACTTTACCCAAAATTAGTTTTAATCGAGCAACTTTCATTTATACTAAATTTGCTTTCTTAGAATGTGGGTGGATATTGTTATCCAGATGTCACTCAGGTAAAAAGAATGTATGTTGATGACGATCAACAAAGAATGGTCAAGGCCAATCATGGACCTCCTGGAATGACTATTCATACTTACAGGTTAGATAATTAATTTTATTTTTATTATTTCTAATAATAATAAAATTTTATTATTTTAAATTTTTTTCTCATTAGTACGCCAGATTTAGATAATTTGGAATCTCGGTTATTGGCTGGATTTCAATTGCTTCAATTGTACAAAGCACCTCCACCTTATAGAGATCCATTAGCTAGGCCAAATAGTAATAGTACACCGGATCTTGCCTCACAAACATTTGGACCTCTTCGAATGGCTTTCAATAAACCTCAGGTAATAAATTAAATAATTCATTTTTTTTTTTTTACAAAACGTTTCCAAGAATTTTTATATAGTAACCATGTATTTTTTATTATAGGTCAGCGGTTCAAGTCCGGATTTAGTCTCTTCCAGGACGTTGTCTGCCAGAAATTTTAGTCATCCTTATCTGGAACAACTACATCCGAATTCGGAAGCTCACAGGACTTACACTAATCTTGCCAATATAGAAGGACCGACTTTGATGTATCAAAAAGGAATTTCTCCCAATCCTGTCGCTGCGTATCGAATCACCGCGAAAACTCTTAAGGAAAACACGGAACCGATTTATGAAAATATTCCACTCCCGTGGAGAGAAGATTCAGAATTAAGAAGTAGAACGTCAAGTATACAGTCAGCTCCCGAAATAATAACGGATAAGGATCAGGGACAACAACAAAAATTACAACAAACGCAGCAGCAGCAGCAGCAACAGCAAATGCAACAATTACCGACGCTTCAACAACAACATCAAACAACAAATGGAAAAATCATTATTAAAGATAATCAATCAGAAAATAATGATGTTAAGCAAAAAAATAATTTAAATTTATCACAAACAACAACAACAACAACAACAAACCAGACAAATACGATTCTATTGAATTCTTCAACAAACAGTACAAACACAAATTCTGATTTGAATAAAACTGACATTTCATTGTATTCTACAGGTGAGTGAACTTTTTTTTTTTTTTTTTTTTATAGATATTTTAAAATGCAATCACAGAAAAAAAAATAATAATAATAATAATAACATATCTTTTCAATTGATATCTTGCTATATAATGTGGTTCATAATAAAAATGTAAATCAAACGTGTGTCGGGATACGAGTGAGGGAGAAACGACAGAAGGAAAAAAAAAAAAAAATTTACGTTAAAAAAAAAAAGAGCGAGAAGTGCTGTTGGCAAACGTATATAGTTGTATTGATTTAAATTTTTATTAAAAATTTAATTTTAGTTCAAAAATTTGTTGTGAAAATAAAAAAAAAAAAACGATTGATTTTGATCGTAGAAAAATCCACGACGAGTACCGAAACGACTTCGAGTAAGGGAAAATCATGGAAAAGATGGGGAGGGATTTTAGGAAAAGGAAAAAGCAACACTTTGCAAAAATCGAGAAATAAAAACGAGAATAACGCGAGCAGGGAACAACCCTACAGGTGGAGCACGGGACTCCGTTGGTTACCCATTATTCCGACGGCGTCAAAGGAAACTTTGGTAAGACGCCATTAAGGAAATGGTTTTTTGTTTTATCATTTTTGTATTTTTATGATTAATTATTTACACGTCACGTTTGATTGTTTGAAAACAGTGTCAGTGCCTCGAGAAAAAATTATCGGATCCGCAAATATTTTACGAATTTGATAAAATTCCCAAAATGAAAAGGAATCCCGATTTCATCACGGCTCTTCATCCCGACAACGTGGATAAAAACAGATTCAAGGATGTTTTACCCTACGAAGAAAATAGAGTTCGACTAACGCCTACGAAGGATAATAAAATGGGATACATCAATGCTTCTCATATCACGGTATGTGGGTGTCACTACTCTGCTGGTTGCACGTTTTATATATATATATATATATTAACAAACCTTGACCCGATTGACTCTTGCGATTACACAATTAAATAATAATAATAATAATAATAATAATGAAAACGAACGTTAACAATGGTTTTTTTTTTATTAGGCCACAGTCGGAAACAGTCAAAGGTTTTACGTGGCCGCTCAAGGTCCCTTATCAAGCACGGTTGATACGTTTTGGCAAGCAGTTTGGGAAGTTGATGCTTACCTTGTTGTGAGGCTAACATCTAAAGAAGAAGAAGATTGTTTCACTTACCTTCCCGCATCATCGGATCATTGCTTACAACTCGGCGAGGTATTCATCATCATCATCATCATTATTATTATTAAAACACTTGAAGACGAGGTGTAAAATGCCGTGGTTCTAATGACGTCTTCTTCTTTTTTTTTTTTTCTTTTTGTCAGTATCAAATTTGGAAAGAATTTTCACAAGAAACTGGTCATTGTTTGACGAGTCGTCTAAGGGTGCAACACACGACGGCGAGACGAAGTCGATCGATTTGGCATCTCCAGTACACAGATTGGGGAGATCAAGGGTGTCCCTCTAGTCCATCTCATTTCTTAGGTAAAATTCTTTTTTTTTTAAACCTGTAAAAATGAAAAAAAATTGTTTAAATTTAATTATTTATTTAAGGTTTCTTAGAGGAATTAAATTCCGTTCGTTTGCACACGATCGAAGACGTACCTGCGGGTCACAACAGGAATCCTCCCGTATTGGTTCACTGTAGCGACGGAGTGGGAAGAACGGGAGTTACCATTTTATGCGATCTGGTACTTTACACTCTCGATCATAATCAGGTAAATCATGAGCATTCAGGTGAAGAGACAAAGAAAGACACACGCTCGATAATGATAAGTGCGAGTGAGACAAAAAAAAAAAATAAAACAAAATAATCATTATTTTTTGTTTATTATTCAGGAGGTGGACGTGCCGAGGGTTGTCGCACTTCTTCGTCATCAAAGAATGCTTATGGTTCAAAACGTTGCTCAGTATCATTTCACCTTCAATCTTCTGCTGACTTATCTCAAACAATCCCGTCTTATCTAAATAAGATTTCTCACCGTAAAGGTTTTCTCTCTCTCTCTCTCTCTCTCTCTCTTCTCCATCTTCTTCTTTTTCATCTCTTTTTTAAAATAATGTTGTGGGCTAATCGTCGAGGGTCATTGAATTATTATGAGTTACCCAGTATGATATACACGCACACGCGCACACACGCACTCACGTCGATCGATCAATTCGTAGCATCTTCAACACTAAAACGAAAAAGTTTCAATTATTTTATCTTTATATAACCGTAGGGGGTGGGACAGCGGGGGCGGGAGATGGGGGAGGAGGAGGAGGAATTCAAAACATTTTTTTTTTTTTTTTTTTTTTTTAATCAGTATTATAAAATCGTGCAGGAAAGAGAAAAAAAAAAAGAAAATTTTTTTTTGTTTTCGGAAATCCGTTAAAAATCGCGTGCAAAAACAATAAAACAATTCACGACCGTGAAAAGCATAAATTATTATTATTATTATTATCATTATCGCAATTAAAAAATTAATTAATTTAAATCGAACGCGTAATAATTATTTATTATTATTATTATTATTTTTAAATTTTAATCAACAAAAAAAAGAAAAAGAAGGAGAAGAAAGAGAAGGAAAAAATTTTTTTTTTTTTTAAATAAAATCCTGTGATATTTTTTAAACAAAAAAAAAACGTTAAAGGAAATGACGTGAAATGCGATTTTATCATTATCATTATCATTATTATTAATATTATTATTATTATTATTTATTTTTTAAAAAATTTAATTAATTAATTATTTTTAATCGTTTTTATCCGGCCGTGTGATGCCGTGTGAAAAAAAAAAAAAATTTTCGACATTTTTTTATTTTATTTTTTTTTTTAAAATAATAATATTAATAATGATTTTTGTAAATAATATTTTATGTGTTTTATTATTATTATTATTATTGTAAAAGTTTATAATGAAATGACGTTCGAATATAACGGTTAAAAAAAAATTCACAATAGGATTTAACAAAGAAAAAAAATGTTTTTTCAATTAAAAGTCTGAAATATTTAAAAAAAAATTAGAAAAAAAAAGTTTAAATGCGCACGTAATATTCAATTTGTTTTATTAAACCAAAGATTTTTCAAAAATATTTACTATAAATAATTAAAAAAAAAAAAAAAATTATTTTTTATAATTAAATTTATTATTATAGAAAAAGAAAAAAAGAAATTTTTTCAATGCAATGCAATCGTAGTAACGTTAAATTAAATCAAACAAATTTTTTTTTTTAATATGTAAATAATATGTTAAAAATACGAATAAGACTAACTCTATGTGCCTTTTTTTTTTTTTTTTAATGTAATTGTTAATTACTAAAAAATGAAATTGGAAAAAAAAGAAAGATTTGCAAGAGTTGATTTTATGCACTGTTTTTTTTTTTTTTGTTCTTTAACTTCCGTTTAAATTAGTAGATGAATGTATTTTTTAGCTTTATTATAATGAAATTGTAAAAAAAAAAAAAAAATAAATTGTGGCATTGTAACCAACAGTATTTGAAAAATAAAGTATTTTTTTAAGATTTTAAAAAAAGTTACTTTTTCTTTAAATTAATTTTATTCCTTTTTTTTGTTAATTGCCTGACATTATTATTATTATCATTAAAATACCTGGAATTACGGTTACGGCTTCCCTGGAACTGTTTTCCTCAAATAAACTTTGGAACATTAGTCAACGGATCATTCAAATTTCTTATTAATTTCACTTAAACCTTTTAAATTATATACGACAAGACAATAAAATAAAATAAATTAACTAATAAACGTTTTCGTTAATTCATTATCGTTAAATAAAAAAAATTCTCGGAAAATTTTTCCGTAAAAACCGTTTGTTCGAATTTTGTTCGAAAACCGTTAAAATTAAACATTTCGAATTCGTTAAAAAATAATAACCTATAAATAATACATATGTGGAATTAGAATTATGTCATAGAGTAATAAAATTAAAAATTTTTTATTTTTGTCGCACTTTTATTTTTTTTTTGTCGATAATTCGTAGTTTATTCAGTAACCGTTTATTATGCGAAGACAAGTGATTCGTTAAGGAATGTATACACACACACAAATACATGTATATTCTAAGAAAAAATATTTCGTAATTATGAGTAATTTTTAATAATAATAATTTTTTTATTTTATTTATTTATATATACTTTTAATAAGTATGAATGATGATAAAAATGATGGTTTCGTTCCTTGTAAAAAATCTAAATACACTCAATGCAATACTGGAGATTCTAACAACAGAAAAATCAAGGACAATGTTTTGTCCTGCAGTAAGTTATAATTTTTACTTATAAATTTGTTTTACATTATTATTAATCTTCTGTATAATTTTCAAATTTGTATTCAATTTTTGTAATATATAAAATACTTTATTTTGTTTTAATATCATGAATTACAGATAAAAATTACATAAAATTTATTTTTTTGTATTAGATAATACATTAGGTGTTTATTATGACAGTTCTTATTAATATAACAATTAATCTTTTTTTAAATTATGATTAGGTAAAGGGGATACAGAAGCAGGAGCATATTTTTTAGGGCCATGTATGAAAGATTATCTTTGTGCTCCTGTTGCCGTTTGCATAGGAAGAAAAAAATGTACAGATGAATATTACCTTATGAAAATGTTAGTTTTAGACGATACAGATACATCTGATACACGTTTTCATGTAAGGAGACAATTTTTTCATAACGAATATAGAATATTGTCAATGTTGAAAAATAATGAAGGTGTAGTGAGACTTCATGATTTTTTTAAGGTAATGTAGTAAAATTAATGTTTTTCAATTATGGTCAGTAATTGTGTTGAAATTTCAATTATTCATTTATTATACAATTTTTTTTAGGATTATGTTTATAAAGAAGTCAATGGTAAAGAAGAAAAATACAAAAGAGTTTTCATGGCATTAGATTGTGTATATCCTCAAGGTTCACATAATTCCGACCTGATTCCTTTACGTCAGTTATTGGAAGAAAAAAAACTATCTGAAATAGAATTATTACTCATATTTTATAATTTACTTTTAGTCATTGAGAGTTTACACAAAATGAACATAGTTCATAGAGAAATAAAATTATCAAATGTTATTGTTAATAAAAAGACTCTTAAAGTTAAACTAATGAATTTTTATCATGCGAAAGTTTTATCAGTTAATGAAGTTTACAATAAAGATTCATATTGTCCGAGGAGCAGCGATGTTCGGGCAGCAGGTGTTGTGTTTCATGCAATGTTACGTAGTGGCAATATTGAATTTGGTTCAGTTTTATCTTCATCTACGATTCACACAATGAGGGAACAAAATAAAAATTGCCTTTTTAAAAATAATTTAATTAATGTTGAAACTAAAGAAACTCTTTATGGCACACTTTGTTTTTTACCCAAACATCAGTCAGAAGTTCATCAGGTAATATTAATATTGTTTTCCATACCATTGTTGTATTTTTTAAATAAATTATTTATGTTTATATATGTATATGTTTAAGGCTTTGGATATGGTTTCCACTTTATTTGCCATTCAATCTTCAATTCAAAATTTTAACTCTTCAATCGATAGTAAAAATATGGATCAGGTTGTGCCTGAATGTTTAGATTTCGTTACTAAAAAAATCACAAAATCACATCAGGTGAGTAACAAGGATAAGAAAAAAAAAAAAAAAAAACAATTTATAATCAAATTATTCAGTTTAAAAAAAAAAAAAAAAAAAAATGTTTTTTGTGTTTTTTTGATTACAGAACAAAAAATCAAAAATGGATTATTACGAAAATTGTTCGGTTAAAGTTCCGGAAATGAAAGATTTTGAAATGTCTAACGAAAAACGTAAGGGGGGTAAAAAAAATTTAAACGATTACGAAATAAATAATAAAAATTTAACGAATTTAAAAGAAATAAACGTGAGAGGGACGTCGAAATCGAAAGAAGAAAAAGAAATAAAAAGGGATAAGATAAAATTTGCTATGATGCGTTTGGGTGCAACTTCTTTACAGAGCATAAACGCTCTCTCGTTTAATTATTCTAAAAAAAATTCTTGTTCCTGTGAAAATTTTTTTTTTTAAATTCAATCGATCGATCAATCAATCAGTCTCGTTTTTAAAACAATTGTGATAATTTTCGAACGAACGCACACGCACACACACACACACACACATTCGAAACAATTGTATATATATATATATTTTCATAGTTATCGTGTACAAAGAGAGTCGAAAAATTTATTCTTATACGTCTTTTATATAAATTCTCATTATTATTATTATTATTATTATTATTATTATTATTATTTCTAATAATATTTCTCTTAAATATATATTATAATAATTTGTCTTTTGGATTTATAGAAAATAGTGAAAGAAAATGAAATTTTTTAATTACTTTGATTTATTTAAATTTAAAAAAAAAATTCTTAGAAATTATTATTGGAAATTTATATTTAAATAAATAATAATTACATTTAATTAATAAAAATTATGTATATATATTTATTTATTTTATTTAAAGTTAAATAAAAGAAATTAATTATTATTATTTATTTGTAAAATTTTACTGCATACATGAAACGTTATCGCGTTCAACTTTTTTTTTTCTTCTCAAAAAAAAAAAAAAAAAAAAATGGAGAGGCGGGGCGGGGAAGAAATAATAATAATAATAATAATAGTGAAAATGATGATGATGATGATGATTCTAGAATTATAAAAAAAAAAAAAAAACCCGTAGGTAATAAAATTATTAAGGAATATTAAAGGTAGTATCACGTCTTCTTAATTCTTTTTTTCTAAGTTTTCCAATTTTAATCAACATTAAACCAGATATGCACATAATAGAACCCGTTATAACAAAAATAACGGTATAACTGTCATATACATTCATTAGCAAACCTGCATACAAAAAAAAAAGAGATAAAATTATGTTTTAGAAAAAAAAAAAGAAAAATTTAATTTTTAATTTACCAAAAAGAGGTGGAAATATAGCAGCCATTATTCCCATGAATAATAAATTTATACCGGTTGCATTTTCAACTTTTGACACATCTACTAATTCCAATAAAATAACTATACGAAAAACTGCGAAACTTGCTGTAAAACAATAAAATTATTATTTTTTTTTTTTTTTGGGGGGGGGGGAGGGTCACACACGTGAGAAAAATAAACAAATATCGTATTTATTAATTACCCATTCCGAGTCCGAAAAAAATACAAAAAATAAATTGAAAATAAATATTTTCACTAAAACAAGAAAGTAATGTTGCTACCCCTCCAATTATTATTCCTCCGATTGCTATTAATTCATGATTTACCTTTATGTAAAATAATAATAATAATAATAAAACAATTGTTTATAAATGGAACATGGGGGTGTAATGAATTTTCTCATACTTTATTTATTGTTGCGACACCTCCTAAAACAAGTCTCCAAAATGTATTTGAAGCTCCTAATATCACGACAAAAAGTACTGATAAATATTCAGAAAAACCAAGGGATTCACATTTGTCTAAAAAAAAAATTTTTAATTTAAGGGCAAAAGAAAAATGATTGAAAAAATGGAAAAATTGAAAAAAAAAAAGAAAACCTTTTTCGTATGTGTGAACAACGAGTATTGAACCCATTTGTAAAGCTCCGCTCATTGTAAATAAAAAAAATGAAAAAGATTTTAATAGTCCGCAATCAAAAGAAGCGACCATAGTTCTTCGGAGTGGATCACATTTTTTAGGTTTTTCTTCAACAAAAATATCAACATTTTCATCAATTGTCACACGTTTTTGACTTAATATTCCACTTGGTCTCTTTTGTTCCTCATCCTCTTCTTCCTAAATCAATTTTTAAAAAGTGTAATTAGAAGAAATAATTGATGTGAAGATGTGTGATATTTATTGGTTTAAACCAAAAAAAAAAAAAAGAAAGGGGGGGGGATTTTAATTTTACGTACGATGTCATCCAAATCAAATTCTTCATCCTCGAGTATGAGTACGGGATTTTTTATAGGTTGCGGTGGATTTTTTTTGCAAGAAGTACAACAATTACAACCCCAATAACCTTTCTTTTTAAAATCGTAAACGACGGAAGGTTCCAAATAACCTTGCCAAACGGCGCTTTTGAGTGATCTTAAACTCGAAACGGAAATTCGTGCGGAAACTTCTTTTTTATGAAATGACGGTTGATTACCTCCTTTACTATCGTTTTTTATATAGGATTTAGACGTTGAAGGTTTATGATCGATGATATCGATCCTCACCGGTTTAATTGGTTTAAATGAAATTGCTGCAATGCTCATAGTTGCCGTCAATAATGCCTGAACCAAAAATGAAGTTCTCCAATCGGTCAAGCTAAGCAAATAATATTCCATTAGAGCAAATACAATCGTACCTACTCCCGTACCGCATACCACGATGCCAATGGCTATCGGCATAAGAGTGGTAAAATATAACCCGGTGATTAATAATGAATTCATGTATACCAAACCGAGACCCACACCTTAAACAACAAGTTTACATATTAATAAATTTATTTAATTAAATGTATAAATAAATAATAGCCGTCGCATACCGCCGATAAGACCGTAGGTACAATACATGTAGTAAGAACCATTTGCAAAATAAGTCAATCCGATTCCCAAAGAACTTATCAAACCTCCGAATATCGATACGGGTCTCAAACCGAAAACGCTGCTAAAACCGGCACAAAAAGGACCTGAAAAAAAAAAAAAAGAAAGAAATCTTTTCCGAAAAGGTATTCTCTCTCTCTCTCTCTCTCTCTCGATGCGGTACTGCACCGACACAATTCACGCACACACTCACGTACCACGTTTATGATTGACTTACCCATTATCAAATGCATTCCGAACATGAGAGAATTAGCGAACGCCACTTGTGGTACATCCAAATGTAAATTTTCCGATATATCATCGATAAAAACTCCGAATGTCAATTGTATGCCATCAATGACGACGTTTATGTAAAATGCACTAGCAACAACAACCCAACCCCAACCACCGTTGGGTGGTATTATGGCATACGTTTCGTGGCTTTTTCTATTTTTTTTTTGCATTTTTAAACATCATCTTTCGCACGTCATCATCCAATATTTTTTTCGTTTTCTTTTTCCATTTTCATTTGTTTACAATTATTTTTCAATTTGTTTACAATAAATTCGTCGTCGTAAAAATTTCTGTTGTTGTTGTTGTTTTTTTTGTTTTTATTTAAAAAAATTTTTTCTTTTTTTTAAATGTAAGAATCATGGAAAACTATTTAATTCCACTTACTTCGAGTTCGCGGTAAGTCTTTTATTTAATAATAATAATAATAGAGGCTAGCAGTAGCAGTAGTAATATTAAATAATAATAATAGACGTAATAATAAATTAAGACCTTTCTTTGTACTTGTTTTTGTAAAAATTCATAACGGTCGATATTAAAAGTGTTATGGATGACAACATCATCAATCCACCGGAAAAATACATGACGTATTTGTATTTCGAAGTTGATTCGACCAACATACCTGTAAGGGGGGGGGAAAAAAAAATATTACGTACGTTCGTTTGTTCGTTTGTTATGAACGTTATAAAAAAAAAAATTTACCGGCTAAAGGAGGTCCGATAACGGAAGCAACGCCTTGACTAAGTAAAACCAAACCGAATGCGTTGGTTAATTTTTCCAATCCGAGAAAATCAACGATTATTACAGGCCTTAACGATATAAATGGAGCTGGGGAGGGAGGGAGGGGAAAAAATATTTTCATACAAAAGATGTTAAATAATGATAATAATAAATAATGAGAAAATCACCTGTGAAAATTCCAAAAATGCATGAAAAACTGGCAATGCAATAAATGTTACAACAAAAAAAAAATATTGTACTGTATATTCCGCTGAAACATAAACAAACAAGAGCAAACATGGCAGAATTTATGTTGATAAAATTTTTTATTACTCCGCTTAATAATCGACCGGCTGTGTTGCTGAGTCCGATTGCTGATACCAACCAAATAGCATAATTTTCAGGTATGTCACATTCCATACCCAAATCTTTAAGAAAAAAAAATTTTCCACGTGTAATACGGTTTTTTTTTTTTAAATTTAAATGTATTATTATTATTATTATCATCATTGCTTACTTTTAACGAAAACGTATGGAACATATAATCCCATTGTGTAAAAAAAACTTGATATGCATAAAAAAAGGAAAATTTTCGATTTGAGAAGGTTTAATCCTAACATGGTGACAATAGTTCTCGTCACGGCTTGACACCCGCAAAATTTTCTCTGCATGTGTTCTTCTATCTCTCTAGGATCCGGAACTCTCGTTACCGACATGTGATACTGTAGACCCTCAGAATGTGAATGTTTCAAATTTGATAAACTATTACCGTAGAAAACGTCATCCCTATACATCGGACGGTCCCCTATAGTTAATTCTTTTTGTTTATAACTGCATCTCCAAAAATTAAAACAACAAACGTTGCAAAATTTTTTAAATTTTCCCATTTTTTTTCTTTCTTGCGTGTCATCCGGGGTTTGTATTATGGAAAAGTGGAAAGGGACCGGCGGTGGTTTTTCACCCAAATTCGATACGTTTTCCACGCTCGATAATTCTTGTTCGGAATTTTTTTGTAATAATGATATTATCGTCGAGTGACGATCGTTTTGAGCAGCGAGTATGCTATCTTTATTAAAAAAATTTTTTAAAATAATTGTTTGTTTGGTTGTACGGTTGTTTTTTACACGTGTACTTACCACGATATAAAATTGCTTCTTTATACGTCGGATAAACTTCGTTTGCTAAAGTTTTTCTTCTTTCTGGTAACATACGAATACTATCGTGTGCGCTACGTGATAACGCTCCAGACTCTTCCGGACTTAAGGGTACCACTTTAAATATTTCTATTGTTTTAAATGATAGAGCGCATAATACGCATAATAGTATTATAACTGAATTTTGAAACAAACAAACAAACAAAAAAAAAATACATTTAAATTTTGAAAAATCTAAAATAAAAAATAATTTGAGGGATTTTTTTGTTTGTTTGTTTCTAACCTCCTTCGACTACCAAAGCGTATCTCCAACCGATCGTGACCACTAGATAATCACCCACAGGTGCAAATAAAAAAGTACCACATCCGGTACCACAAACGCATATGCTAACAGCCAATGCTCGATATTTGTCAAAATTCACGCTTGTTGTCAATACGGACGCCATGTAAATCATACCAAAACCCAACCCTAAAATCCACAAAAATTCATTCTGTTTTTTTTTTTTTCTTATTCTAAAATCCCGTGGGGGAGGTACGAGAGGGGGGGTGATGTGATACGATTTCTACCTCCAAGTACTCCGTAAATAAAATATAAATAATAAATGTTAACGGCAAAATAAGACAACATTAAACCCGCAGAAGAAATTAATGACCCCGTGATCGCAACCATGCGAAATCCAAATTTATTTCCTAAAGCTCCGGCGATCGGCCCTAAAAAAAAAAAAAAAAAAAAATTAATCATTTAATAAAATTAATTAATTTGTTTATATATGTATTGATAACATCGTTATCATATTTCGTAACGATAAATAATAAAAATTAAATGGACGAACCGCTGAAATTATAAAATCCGGACATAATTGAACCAATTAATGTAGTTTGCGATATGCTTGCTTCTAATGCGTCGGCTATGGGATTTAAAAAATTACCAAATGTGTATTGCATTCCATCGACAATCATGTTACAAACAAACGAATTAAAAACAACAAACCAACTCCATTTACCATCGATTCCTTTAACTTTATACGAATCATATTCGCTTTTGTTTTCATTAACAATTTTTTTTCTCCTTTTTTCTTTATTTTTTGTCATCGTAAAGTTTTCCTTTTTTTTTTTTTCTTCCTTTTGTTATTTATTTATTAATTTTTTTTTCAAATAAAAAATATCATTTTATTATAATTGTATGTAAACATTGTTTTTCTTTTTTATCCTTTTTTTCCTTTTACACGTAATTTTTTCCTTTTTCCTACCACGTTAAAATTCAAATTAAAAAATAAAAACATGACGAAATTTTAGAACGTAAACAACATTTTATTATTATTTATGTACGGGTGAGTGGAAGTTATAAAAAATTATTATTATTATTATTATTAAAATAATTTATTTATTAAAAAAAAAAAAAATTTTAAATCATCATCAACAATCGACGGTGGATTTTTTATCATTAAATCCTGTTTTTCTCTTTTTTTCCCATCTGTTAATGGCTTTCAATGGGAAAAGAATGAGTCCTGATAACATTATCAAAACACCGGAAAAGTAAAAAGAAGCGCTGTAATTGGATGTTGCTTCTCGTACGGCTCCTATAAAAAAATTTCCCATAAGAAAAAGAAATTTTCCGAAAAATTTTTTTTTTTTTTAAACAGGGAATTTACCGGCTATGGGTGAACCCAATGCAGAACCGAAACCTTGAACGAATAATAAAAGACCAAATGCGTTATTTAAATTTTCTAAACCTAAAAGATCGACGACCATGATTGAACGAAGTGATGCAAAAGTTGCTGAAATGAATTTTTAATGTTATTATTATTATCGAAGAAAAATGGATAAAGAGAGAGACAGAGAGAGAGTGGAAAATAACCTGTCGAAAATCCAAATATTGCACAATAAGCGTATTGATAAGGGACTGTTAAAACCAAACCGCTCACTCCAGTTGCGACTCCAGCAATTATTAAAGCTATGTTATTCATAAAAGTAGCATCCATACCAGGAAAACTCGATACAAGACCAGCAAGTACACGACCGATTGTGTTTGTTATACCGATCGTAGACAAAAGCCAATTCGTGTCTGCATCGTCCCAGTGTCCTTCTTCTATAGCTCGATCTAAAGAGAAAAAAAAAATTATTATTATTATTAGAAATAAAAATAAATTTTTTTGTTGTTGTTCTTCTGGTGGTACCTTTTATGTAGCTGAAAGGTGTGAAATATCCAACCATCGTTAGAAAACCGCTGAGAAGTAAAAGGTCAAAAGATGGCGAAAGTAAAAGTGAAAAATCAAAGAGATCCGCAATGGATTTAACAAATGCTTTAAAAGAAAATTTATTTTGTTCTTCGGCTGGAGGAATTCTGGTAACCGATAACGTATAACTAATCGAATCTTTCTAAAAATACAAATTAAGTTACGATATGGAATGCGTTCGGATAATGACGAACATAACATAAAACTTTCGTACTTCCGGTTTGTATTGAGGTAATCTCATTAAGCTTGCAGCAAAGTATGCATCGTCTCTCGGTAGTGACACGTTTATCTTTTCGTCGATTTGCGTGATCGTTCCTCTCCTGCTTCTTATTATACATTCCACACTTTGACCCCTCGATAAATTCGATGATAGTGAATGTTTTCTTCTACTATCCCAAGCGTGAGACATGGACCTTTCTTTTTTCTGTTTGTAATGACTCGGAGGACCATCGTGATCGAGTACGTTTGGAACGCTGTACCTTTTGTCATTTTGACCGATATTCTCGACATATTTTATCACGTTATTATGAACATTAAGGGATTGTGAGGATTTTGAAAGTTTTGTGGTTGTCGTATCAAGACTCGTCGGCCTTTCTGCAATATGAAGAACTTCAGCTGCCGTTGGTGGTTTATGACTTTTCACACTACGTATAGAATCTGATTTTTTTACTTTTTCGTGGGATTTTTTTCCTTTGAGCGGTTCATCATCGGCTTTATCCTCTTCGACATCGTCAAGATTTTCATTTAATGCAACTTTAACGGGTTTTATTGGTCTGTACATCAATCCGCAAATAACGCATATCAATATAATACCCGCTTGTACGAGGAAAGTGTTTTTCCATCCCATTTCTTTTATTAGCATGTTATTTAATGGAGATAAAGCAAACGTTCCTATACCGGAACCGCATACGGCAATTCCCGTTGCTATACCTCGCCATCGTTCGAAATAATAACCGACGGTTACGATCGAGGGTGAATAAATCATTCCGAATCCAATACCTGAAAAGAGAAAAGAAATACCCGTTAATCAAAAATCTTAATGTCGGGAAAATATTATGGATTAATTACTTACCTCCTAGTATACCGTAAGAAAATATAAGGAAATCAACGTTCATTGCTAAACTGGATAATGCAAAAGCTGCGGCAGCAAATATGGAACCTCCCACGACAACTTTTTGAAATCCAAATTTATTGGCTAAAACGCTAACGAAAGGACCTGGAAATGATAAAAAAAAAAATTAACATTAAACAAACAAACAAAAAATAAAAAGGGGAGGTGGACAAACGTTTAAATACCTGTCATTAAATAAAATCCGGCAAGTAGAGATCCAGGTATCGATACTTTTGCTGCGGATTCGTTAAAATCATTTTTAATAACGGGTAAAAAATCACCGTAACAATATAAAATACCATCGACGATAAAATTGGCAACAAAGGATGCAGCAACAACCACCCAACCCCAACCACCATCGGGTGGTACCGTAACAAGTACTTCCAAAGGTTCATCTTCCGGTATCAATGAATCTTTTTTCAAATTTGATTTTTTTATTTTATTTTTTTCACTTTTCACTACGGCCCCCGCTCCCGCCGTCGCTCCCGTCGCACCCACCGAACCTTTATTCCCATCATTTTTAATATTATTATTATCATTTAAATTATTTTCTTTATTATCATTATTAATATTATTTTCTTTTAAAAATGGTTGATCTGCATGATCGGTTTCATCTTTTGTTTGTCGTTCCATTTCTTCTTGTCCTCCTCCTCCTTCTTCGACGTTATTCATATTATCTGTTATATTATTTTTATCTTCGCCTAAAAAACAAACAAGAAACAAACAAGAAACAAAAAAATAATTTTTTCTCTTCCTTTTTTACAAGAAAACACAAATTTTTTAACATATACAAACGAAACAAAATCAAAAATTATAATTACTCTGCATTATTATTATTATTTTTTTAAAAAAATAGAATATATTAAATTATTAATAAATTTTTTCGATTAATCGATTTATCGATCGATAGATCGATTTATTATTAATTAAAAAAAAAGAAAATCACACAAAAAAAAAATTTTATTCCGCACTCATCATTTAAGTTTTTATTTTTCTCTCTTATTATTAGTCGCCTTTCAACGGTTTATTCTCGTTTGATTTTCTTTTCTACATCCAGAAGTCATGACAAAAGTACTTTTATGACGTCATCAATCATTTCATTTTAAATTTTTTAAGGTGAATATCATTATTATTATTATTATTGAAAAGATTTTATTTTATCGATTAGATAAGTTAATTATTCAATTTTTTTTGTATTTAAAAAATTAGATTAGATTTTATTTATTTTATTATTATTTTTTTTTATTTGACAAATTTAATAATAATAATAATGATGATGATAATAATGATGATGATAATAATGATGAAGATGATGATGATGATAATAATTTTTAAAATAGGATAAACTCGCACGCGTCTTTTTTTTTTAATTTTTTTTTACAAAAATATTTTGACGTTTGTTCTCTTTTCTAAAAATTTTCCAGATGTTTTAATAATAATAATAATAAATTTCTTTTTTTTCACCATATCCGGTAACTTCGACGATATCCGGTAACGCTAACAATATCCGGTTAAAAATATCAAATTAAATTTTTTTTTTAAATTTTTCACTTTTGGTGTCAGTTAGTTAGTTAGTTGGTTGTTTGATCTGTCGTTTGTTTGATTTTGGGCCGATTCTTATCAAAATAAATAAATTATTATCGTTCATTCTTTTAAAATAATAATAATAATAATAATAATAATAATAATAATAATAATAATAATAATAATAATAATAATAATAATAATAATAATGATAATGATAATGATAATTCTTAACAAATAAAATAATAATAATCGTTAAAATAATAATTTTTCTTTTTTTTTTCATTTTTGATTTGTTAAAATTATTATTATTATTATTATTATTGACAGGCTAGCTGGCTGTTTGTTTGTTTGTATAATCATTGTTGTACATTTATTATCGTTATTATTTAAACAATTAGAAAAATAATAATAATAAAATTTAATTTTCATCATAAAACGAGTTGAAAATGAACAAGAAAAAAAAAATTTTTTTTCGGTTATTTTCTTTCGGATAATTTTTTTTTCTAAAAAGGGGAGGAGCAAAATGGGGGGAAAAATAATTTAAAAGGGGGAGGGACGGTAGGAGGGTTAAAAGAAAAAGTAAAAAAAAATTTTAACATAAAAATTTAAACGAAATAAAAATTCGAAAAATAAAAAAAAAATAAAAAATTATTTTTACTTACTCGTCATTATCAGATCAGAAGAAATTGTACATTATTATTATTATTATTATTACTACTACTAATAATAATAATAATTTGATTGATTTTTAACATTCCACCACTACTACTACTGCTACTACTATCATTTCTTCAACTTGGCCAATATTTTTCTTTTTTTTTTATCTTATTTTTTTTCGTAATAAAAAAAAAAAAAATTAATATGGATCACTTGATTTAGCAAGGACGGTAGAAATTTATTTAAAATATTAATAATAATAATAATAACTTAATCATCATCATTATTATTATTATTATTAATCAAACGAAAAAACGAGTTATATTTAAATTGACAAAAAAAAAAAAGTTAAATTAAAAATTTTTAAACTTGAAAAAAAAAAGAAAATTCACATCGAAAAAAAAAAAACAAAGAGTGATGATAATAATAATAATTGTTACTCACAAAAAAATTTTTTTTGATTTTTATTACTTTTCGTTTATGGCAATTTAAATTTTGTTCTTATTTTTAAATTTAACTCGTAAAAATTATGCGAAGTTTAAGGTAATCGTAATAATTAACGTCCTAAATGATAAACTTTTAATTAATACGGCATTAGAAACAAAACGACAAATTATTATTATTATTATTACCACGTATCGTATTCGAATTCGTTTAGTAAATTTGTCCTTCCCCTTCTCCCCAAATTATAATTCTTCGTTTTTTTTTTAGTGATGGAAGAAGAGCATAGAACGAACTATAAACTAGTTAATAAAAAAAAAATTAATTATTTTAATTATCGAATCGTTTCTATGCATAATTATAGAGGTTAGTTAAAATTCAACACGCTATAAACTACTATAAAACGCTATAAATAAAAATACAACTATAAATATTAAAAAAAAAAAAAGAAAAAAAAAGTTTTTACCTTCGTAAACGAATCATTTTTTAAAATCAAAACAACAAATTCAAAAAATTCGATAAATTTATATTATTAAAAATTAAAACAAACAACAAACAATAAAAAATAAGTTTTTTTTATTTATAAACTACGAATAACAACAACAAAAACAACAACAACAACAACGTCTCCCGACAGTTATAATTAATGTCCGATCATCATTTTACTCTCGTATAGTAACCTAAAAAAAAATTTTTTTTTTTAAATTTTAATTTACCAAAAAAAAAAAAAAACAATTCTATTGACACGTCATTTTATTATTTTTTTTCTTACTCTTCCCCTTCTCCCCACCACTCTCTCTCTTTCTCTCTTACTTTTACCCATCCTGGAAAAACGTGAAAAGTGAGTGACTTACAAAACGCTTTTGTTTATTCTAAAAAAAAAAAAAAATAATAATAATAATAATAGGAAGAAAATTTCATAGTTTTCGACTTCATCGTAGTAAAAAAATTAATGACGTCACAACGGTTAGTCTAATTCTTTTAATTTTGATTTATGACGTTTCAATATCACAAAACGACAACAACCAAAAAAAAATTTTTGTTTTCCATATTTTTTTTCCGTTTTTGAAGGTAAAAGTTGTTGCAAGGGTTCGACGAACGTGTCAATATCATTATTATTATTATTATTATTATTATTATCAATTTATTTATATATATGGAATGACGTAAAGATGAGAATGATATTTAACGAAAAAAAAAAAAAAGTTAAATTCCACGTCGGTTTTTTTTTCTTTTAAATCGAAATCGATTGTTTGTTGTGTGGTAAATAAACAAACGAAAGGAAAATTTTGGTTTTCGAGATTTCCCTCCCCCTCTCCCCCCGGTAAAGAAAAAAGGAAAAAGATAAAAATTTCGTACGACAAACAAGGATCCGATATAATTTTGTTTTTTTTTGTTTTTCATGACAAGTTAATTGACAATAATGAATGTTGTGTAAATACTTAGACCCAATTAATTATCTTATTTAAGTGTTGCCATCAAGGGCAAAACTATTAAAAAACATAATTCAAATCATTTTACATTTTTTTAAAATATAATAATAATAATAATTTTCTATCCCTCTCTCTCACTTTCTTTTCTCTCGACAACTCTCTTTCTCCCTCATTTCCTTCAATCTTGTACTCGTTGACGTTTTTAATTTGAATCGATCACCTCACCTGTTGTAATTTTTTTTTTTTTTTGTCGTGGCATTAGAAAACTTGAAAATCTCATTTATATTTGGGTTAAGAGTTTTTATCCGTTGCATCTTTCCACTCTCAAACGGTCAGTTTTTTTTCCTATCGAAATCTAACCCATTTTTTTTAGTTTTTTTCTTCCTAAAAAATTTGATAAATGATTTATTATTATTATTATCGCCATGCATTTTTTTTCTGAACTGATTACGAAAAATCGTTGATAAGTGATAACAACAACAACAGCAACAACAAATCGACGGATTCGTTTTTTTTTTTTTAATTCCGTACGACCTGGTCAATTATTTGTTTTTTATTTAAAAGATAGATTAAAGGATGGGGAGGGAGGGGAATTCCCCGTTTTTGTATTAAAAGATTAACTATAATTTAAATCCGTCGGATTAATGTCGGATTTAATCTGTTTATTTTTTTTTCTGGGTTTTCCACGAGAGTTCAAACGATCGAATCAACAGAAAAATTTTTTTTTATCATTTTTAAATCCTTTTTTAAGTTTATGCTTCTGCTTCTACTGTTTCTCCCGTGGGATTTGTTATCAATGATATTTATTACTATCACTATTATTATTATTATATCATTTCATTCGAGAGTTAAATAAATCTTATTATTATTATTATTATTAAAAATAATATTATCTTTAAAAAAAAAAAATATGTAACGATAATGAAAAATAATGCACTCGAGGAGGAGAAAGAAAAAAAAAAAAATTCGTTTGTTGTTTGTTTGTTTGTTTGCCGCGTTTCGGGGAAAAAAATTATTTAAATAAAAACGTATAGAAATTTATTATTATTATTATTTTTTTTTTACTTAAAAAGGTCATTATAAAAATTCCTTTTAAATTATTTAAAATAAAAAATATTTAATTTTTTTTTTTTCTAATTTCTCCTTTTTTCTATTATTATTATTATTATTTTTTTTGTCTTCTTCCACTTTCGAAGGATTTTCCCCAATTAAATTTTCCGTGTCAAATTTCCCTTTTTTTTGGGTTATGGATTCAATTTCTTAAAAACAAAACTATAAATGAAAAAAAAAATAAAAATTTTAAACGTGTCGAAATAACAAAAAAAAATTTTTTTAAATAAAAATATTATCAATGTTATCATTATTATTATTATTATTATTATTATTATTATCATCGTGATAAAACGAAAATTTAAAGTGTTTTAAAATTAACGTCATTAAGTTGGAAAAAAAATTGATAAATGTAATTAGCAACACCTGAGTATATTTAATTAGACCTTTTTTTTAGTTTAAGCAGGGTACGATGTTAATCATGTCACGTGACCATTTTTCATTCGTTATTTATAATTATTATTATTATTATTTTT